GTTGACAGTCATTTTTTAAGTTAGTGGGGGTCCTCAAGCTTTCTCTGGTCAAACAAAAGCTACATTGTGGGTTTTTACTCTCATGGATGGGCATAATGGAGAACCTGTCGAACCGACCTCCGTGAAACAACAGAGTTCCACAAACATCTCGTTTTGAACTGATCCGATTCAAGAACAGCCCAACGTGGTAAAACGACGTCGCCGTTTCTTTGTGCACAAGTAAACTTGTTGAAGCCGTATTTACTAATCTACTCCTCGTTTACTCCAAGCAACTGTTGATGCAAGAGTGACGAGCGTGAAAACGGACCGCTGAAAACAAGGTTCATCTTACATTAAGCAACAAAAAGTTTGGCTTCATCGTGAATCCTCCTTTACTTTTAAAAGTGTCCATTTTAATACACACTTCAAATATAGAACATCTTTTTAAAACGGGCTGCGTTCATCATCACGTAATAATCAAGACGTTTCGATACTTTGACAAAGCAGTACCGTATTTTCCGCCGTAAATGTCGCAACGCTCAATAAGTCCTGTCAGTCCAAAGATGTCTAATAAAGTGGAAAAATGCATAAATACGTTGTTTCGCCATATAAGTCGCGTCACCGCTGACAACCTGGAAATGTGGGGCGGTGTTGTGCCAAAAATTGAATGGCTGCCAAATGATGGCCACGGGAGCGTGCACGGGAGGACTTTAACAAGAATTTAACAAGATTAACACTTAAAAACAATCATTTGTTTGCTCGACATTTTATCAAAGGCGTCTCAGCTGAACTTTTCCTTAATAAATGCACTTTGAAGGTCAAATCAGCTGCATTTTGTAAAGCCGATACGCGGAAACATGAAAGCGCAGAGGTCGACTCGCTGTGCATTTCTTCAAAATTTCACAAGATAACCAGCTAAAACAATTGCTTGTTTGCTCGACATTATAGTAAAGGTGTGTCTCAGCTGAACTTTTACTTAATAAATGCACTTTAATGGTCAAATTAGCTGCATTTTGCCGGGGCGAAGCCGATTTGACAGTTGCTCCAGGTGAGCTGGATGAAGGTGGCAGACTATGGCAAGCCAATTGTCTCATTAATAGCCACTTGTACTTATAACATGATACAACGGCATGCCGTACTATTCGAGTGCCATCTAGCGGCTGAAAATGGTAGTGTTCAATATTTTCAGTCAGAATGAATGACAACGGTCATATCTCTGCCAAAAATTAAGTTTATGAATATGGGGAAAAACATAAATAAGTTGCTTTGGTGTATTAAGTCGCAGGGCATGCAAATTATGCAACAAAAAAAAAAAAAAAAAGGCAACTTATAGGGTGAAAAATACTGTAATCTGTTTCCGGACATCCGGACACGTCTGTGTGAGGCTAAGCTTCACCTGAGCCTTCGTAGATTATGAACATGAAAGCAAAGGTGTTTTTAAAATCCATGCAGGAATGTGAAAGGAGCAGCAGTTTTATAAAACCAGCAGATTGTGGTCACTCACCAACATGTGGCATAACAGACAGAGCTTGATGGTAAAACCTCTCTGCCAGCTGCTCAGTCTCAACTCCAGCAAGTTCATTTTGATAGCGAGCTAAAGAAAAAAAAAAAAAAAAGCGTTATAAATGCCAGAAAATAAAGAAATAAATATAAATAAATATTTTTGGAAAACTAGAGAATGTTCAGAAACGTTACTTTGAATAACTCTAAACAATTCCAGCACGTACTTTTACAAATTAACTAAAATTCAAATAGAAACTGATTCATATTAAATAAGTGCTAATTTAAATATGAACGTGTTCTTATATTAAAACATCACAGTCTGTTCCCAGATATTCTGTAGGACGACGCTAACGTAGCTCCATTACATATTCTAATAACGTATCATTACCCAGATCTCCGAGGTAGACCAGACAGCGATGACAGGCCATCTGCGCCCACTCCATCTCCTTGGGGGAGGCTGACACGGGTTTCTTTCGGCCTGTGGGAACAACTTCTTGATTAGTGAGAAAACATTTATCCAACTTCTTCTTGTTGAGAAACTTTTCATCTTTTATCTAAAAGACTTCTTCAGTCTGAGGAGCTGCAACAAACTCAGTCTCCTGCAGCTCCTCAGACTGAAGAAGTCTTTTGGCTAAAAGGTGAAACGTTTCAACAAGAAGAATCCATCCAGAGGACCCGACTCAACCTTGTTAGATTCATCTACCTGGATTATTGAGCATCCAACATCACAAATTATTTTTATTAAATTAATGACTTGAAAATCAAATTTTCTGATCAGAAACGGATAAAAATCAGCAGAAGATTTGATTCGGGTGAGACGACTCATCTTAGGACTACTTTACTGTAAAGAACTGTTTTTTCAGCAGATGCACCACTTAAAGGAGTCTAAATCCATCGAAATGTTCATATTTTGGACAGAGAAGACCAGTGGCTTGAGAGGGCGGAGCCATTTACATCAAACGAGAACAAGCAACTTTAAACAGAGGAGGAGGTCTCAGACTTTTAACTTTCAAAAACTTACAACGACCTGATTAGACCAGATTCCCCACACACCTTCATGCAGGTGACCAAAACATCTCTCTGAGCCAGACAGACAAAAAGCCCAACGAGCCTCCAGCGCAGGGTGAGTAGTTCCAGTCCAACCTGCAGCTGAATCTAGGAACACAACCAGGCCTCTCATGCACTTCTATAAAGCTGTGAACTCCACACACTACAGACATTTTGTTCTGTAACCTTTTTTTTTTTTAATTGATCATAACCTGGATGTCTGAGAATCTTCACCAAGGGTCGTTTTAAGAAGTGCCACCAGACAACCTGAACCCTAATGACTGTTGTTTTGGAGGGTTTAGATCTCCCAAACTCCTCTCTAACCAGTGGTCACAGAAGTGAAAAGCAGGAAGTTGAGAACAGAACTCTTCGAAAGTCTTGGATCTGATAAACGTTCGCAGTCATAACGCAGCTTTAAAGGCCCAACTTTATCTAGCTTTCCATCTGTGTGTGAGGGAATGTGCTTTCACAGCTAACCGATGAGCGGATCTGTGACGTGGGTCCAGTCAATGCAGTCCTGCAGCTCCAGCTGGTAATGTGACTGAATGTAGAGCAACAGGTGTTGGTAAAAACCCACACCGGCGATGAGGTGCGTTCTGTAGGCACACTCCAGAGCGCTGCGACTGTGGATGTGCTGCAAACAGACAGAAACCAGGACTTTAGAAAAACGTCCAGAGCAACATCAAATGACACATGGTACAGGTACATCCAGCTAGGAAGATTTTTTTTATTTTATCAAACATTAGCAAGGTATAGTATGTTCGTTAATCGTTGTGAAAAATAAAAGGCAACTCAAGAGAACATAAAAGAAAAAACAAATAAAAACAATTGTCGTTTTGACGAATGATGAGCAGCATTCTCAAATTATGCACGATTAAAACAGCAGATCAACAAATGTCAAAAACTCAAATAGAAAGTTGTTTTTTTAAACAATGCACTTAAAATGTACTCTGTGAAATAAAAAATAAAAAATGAATTACCGTAATCTAAACTAGCTTTATTGGTGCAGTTTAAGAGTTTGCTCCAGTTGTTTTCAGGTGTGTTTAATACAATTCTGAAACGCAGGTCCACACTCAACGTAAACAAAGCTTTCACCCAAAAGCATAACGAAGCTTCAGCCTTGTGATTGTCCAGCTGTAGTCAGAGTGCATAAATAAATACAGTGGAATCTGACGAGCGTAGACTCTCGGAGGACATTTAGGTGGAAACATAAACGTCAACTTGCTGTTAATTGTGAAAGAAGAGCGACGGAACAAGCGAGACACTGTCGGTTGTAAATATCAGGCATGAAGCGGGACGGTGGAGCGCCGTAAAGACAGCTTGCCATTCAAAAACAGATTCTGCAGAACTTCTGCTACAGCGGTAAGTTTACTGTTTGACCCATTTTCAGTCATTTCTGCTGCTTCCGTAGGTAAACAAACACACGTGGTAGTTAGCATCCTGCTCACAGAATGTTTCTCTAAGGACACATCACCATCAAGTTTATTCCATCATGATTTTTTTTTTCATGCTTTGCAACAAGTACCTTTAAACTAAAAATGACGAGATGTTTTCAGCCACTTAAGAGTGCCTAAATCATATATGACTTCAGTGTTGACACATTATAATCACAAACAGTTTAATCCTTTGTTCCGTTTCTTGTGCTGATCCATTCATGATGGAAAATTTAGACTTTTTAGCCACTAAGCGGACTCCGTTCATTTAGTTATATGCTAACCAGGTCATTTATACAGGTTCAACGATGAGTCACTTGTTTGTTTTTTCCACAAAGGCAAAATACGAAAAGTGCAATTTCAAAAGTCTTCCTTCCAGCGTGAACACATAGTAGTGCTGCGGTCACTGGAATGGCAGAACTGACCTTTAGGCAATAATCTCAGAATAAGTCCAAATATGAGACAAAGTGGAAGGCTTGTTGTTGTTTTTCTTACCTTCTTGTTTGTCTTGATAACCTGAATGACCTCATAGTAAACCTTCCTCCAGAGCAGCTCCTCAGCCTTACGGCCATAGTCAACAGGATGAAGAAACATCAATTTCACACAAAGCTCCCTCAGCCTGAAAACACACACAAAAGATGCACACGTGCACACCTTTAGTGAACCAATGAGGCAGTTTTAAATAAAGAGCGGCACCACGAGAGCTGAAACTTGTAGCTCCTTAAAATCTCAGCTCCAACATGACCAGCATCCTTTCTGAACTATTAAAGCTAGAATCTGTTGGTCGGACACACAATTATTCAATTCATCAATCCTTCATGCACACGTTCAAATTTATACAGATCAAACTCTCGAAAAGAATTTAACGTTTTTTTAAAGCCATCCAATTTATACCAGTGTATAAATGATATATAATTTAAAAAACTGACACCAACTTATTTTAACTAATTTGCAACTGCCGCTTTTAGAAAGTAGGACGTGAAGACCATTTAGATTTAAAGCTATTGACCATTTTAATTTTAGTCTCTTGTAATTATGAAACGATTACAGTAAGACATAAATAATACAAGAAGAAAATGACAGTTCTCTTGATCAATTCTTATTCTATATTGGTTTAATGTTTCCAAAAGTCGAATGGGAGGTTCATCAGGCTCCTCTCTTGTGGAACCAACTTTCAGTTTCTGTCCGTGAGACCGACACATTGTCCAGTTTTAAGACTTTCCTTTTTGATAAATCCTATAGTTAGAGTTGGCTTGTTATGCTGCCATAGGCTTAGACTACTGGAGGACAAATTGACCTAATTTCCTTAAATTAATTATTAAAATTGAGTTTTCATTTGATACTATTTCTATTTTAACATGTGATTCTTTGTTTGACAAGACTGTCAACAAGGAAGAGGGCCGGCAATGGAGGAGGGGGCGTACCAAAGAGACCATCTTATCACAAGCAGAACTGGTTTGTTCCACTTTGGAGTAAGCTGTTGGAGGAAGAATCAGTTTTATTGTGCGTTTCCTTGACTGATGAAGCCTTCCCCACTAAACATTAGACGTCGAATGGATGTGCAGATCACGTTTATATCGAGTCCGTCGGTCTAGACCAATTCTGGACGTCTCCAGGACGTGCAAACAAAGTCCACTCTGGACGTCCAACCATGACCTCACTTGTACGTCGATATAAAGTCGAATGTTTGAACGTTGGACTTGGAGGTCGTATAGACATCCAAGACAGGCGCAGATGTGCCTTAGTGAATCATAATTTTTATAAACCATAAAATTTACAATCATGATTTATAATCATAAAAGATTGCACGGCTTCATTCATAAACCAACAGTTGCTATTATCTCTCGAAGCTATTTCTGTTAATCCAGTAAAGAGGATAAAGGAAAAAAATTTAAGGAGTGATTTATTATAAAACTTAGTCCATCTGTTTCTAGTGACATTTAAAGAGTGAGGATTTAATTGTGAAACTAGTATCTGTAATATGTGGTTTCCTGCTGCACAATAGACTTTAAACCCGAAGGTCCTGGGATCGAACCCCAGTCATTCCAACATCCATCTGAGGGTGAATGTGATAAACACTGCATGGGAACATGCAATGAAGACAACACGAAGCACTTACTAATTATATTATTATCTGAAGTGAATAAAACAAGTTAAATTTTGATGTAGAAAATACGTCTATATTGACCGTCCAGTGGACGTAGTCTGTCGTAACAGTCTGCACCTGGGAGGGACCCACATTAGAAGTGCGAAAACGACTTAAAAAATACGTCATTTAGACGTTTCCTTGCTCAGTGGGTCCGGACCGAAGGCGAAACGTTTCAGCACAAAACAAGAAACTGTCCAGATGACCTGACCTGGATTGTATACCTGGATTATTGAGCATGGACTTTGTTGTTTCATGAGGGAGTTTTTAATTTCCACTGTCGCCTTCATGCTTGCTCAAGATGAGTTTCGTGATATAAATAAACTGAACGCTTTCATTTTGTTTTATAAACCCAGCCAAGCCTTCTTTGCTTACGGTCCTAAAAGTCTAAAAACACAAACGTCATGGAATGGAACCGCTTTCTGGGTAGACATTTAACTTTTGCCAGTTGAACTAAACGGTAAAGAAAGGCAGGCTGTGATCAACCTGCTCTGCGGTACATCCCTCAGGTGTGACCAGGAAATCCAAATTCACATCGTGCTGGATGAAGCAATCCTAGGCCAGGTCAGACCAGAGGTTTCTCAGCTTCCAAGCTGAAATGTTTGAAATGAAAGAGCTGTCTCCAGCTGGACGTACTTGTTGCGCAGGCTGATGTTCTCCGGCTTGAAGACTTCTCTGTAAGAAGATTTGCTGCCGATGATGACATCCAGCTTGTGGACAGACTCCACCACAGCCCTGGGAGGGTAGATGAGCAAATAAATAACAGGACAGTTACATTTAGACAACAGCTTGTAACGTTCAGAATGTGTATGTGGGATGACAGGCTGAAAAGCTCTTAGTTTCACGTCTCTGTGACAAAAACAGAAATGACCAAAGCTCCTCTTCAGAAAGATTAGTCCTGGGGCAAACATGTCTGTTAGATAAAAACATGCGATAACTTTACCCATGACGTTAATGAAACAGCTTGGTGGACCCTTTAAAAGCTCCGTTATAACGTTACATTAGCGCGTGCGGTTAGCTCGATACAAACGGCCTCGCCAACTTACCTGTAAAGCCGCTTGATGAGAAGCACTTTCGCCTCCGATTCGCTGTCCTGCCCCGGTCCACTCATGTTAGCGACCAGGCGGATGTTGGATCACACGTCCCGGTGTCAGGTCACCGTTTCATCCGAATCTGCGGACATACAGTTGTCACGGCTACTCGGGTTCGGTCCCCCGGTAGTGACAACCGTGTTGTTAGCCAGCTAGCGCTAGCTATCCAGATAACGCTGGCGTTCCTCCCGTTTTCTTCCGCTTCTTGTGTCCTTTGTATAAACCCCCTCCACCCATCCGTTCTGAAAACTGGGTAGAACGGGGTCCCGGGTGATATACACCGTTCCCGGTCAGCTAAAACGCTCTAAAATGCCTCTTGTATTATGCTCCGTTCCGGCCATTATTCCTATCAGGCGCTGACCGCCTGAGTATCGCGAGAGTACGAACGTGAATTTACGAGATTTTTGAACGGGGTTGCCAGGTAGTCCACAAAATTTCGCAAATCAGCGTCTAAGAAGTTTCAAAAGTACGAGAAAACAGTCACGTACCGGTATGTTCAATCATCGTTAAACTTTAATTATAAAATTTAATGTAACAGCTGATGCTTCATTCATGGTCAATATGTAAAAACTAATTGTTTATGTTATTTGGTCTATTGTCAAAGGAATAAAATAAATACAACAGTGACAAACCTTGATTATAAACTTTACAGAAAATGTATTTTATTTGCACAAAACGATTTAAACAGATTTTTACATTGTCATATAATTACCATCTCAATAAATACGCTTACACAAAGGATTTTTATTGTAGTTTTTTTATGATTGTGAACACTAAAATTAAGTAATGTCAGTTTCAGTACAAAGATTTCAACAAAATGTGGAAACAGAAAATAAATTCAGTCACCCTCCAATGATGAGCTCTCATTTGTTAAAGTTTAATGGACATCAGCGCACTGAACCAAGTTGAACTAACTAACTATGTTCTGCTGGTACAGGATCTGTGCGTTCAGTTTTATGCCATGATCTTTAACTTCTCATTTTAATAACATAGCTGTCTTGTAAAACAAAAAGTCCCCCAAATTTTAAAGTGACCAATGCATTAAAAAAAGTTATAAAAAACTTGCAAAGTTGAACTTTAGATATTAGACAAAGCAGCACATTCAAGAGCATTGATTATGTAATAAGTTGTTGAGCATACTGACATTTGCTTCTGTCTATTAACTCTGCTGCCCATGTGTCCCCCACCCATAGAGGTCCAAACTAAGTGACTGTTAAACGAAGGAGCACGAGATGTTGGAGAAATACCAAGGGCTGAAAGAGCAAATACAGAAGTTATGGAGAAGACGTCAGTAGTCCAAGTGATCGTTGGAGGACTTGGTGCTGTGACCCCCAAACTGGAAGAGTGGCTCCAACAGATCAGAGACCTCTGTCCCGAAGAGACCAGTCCTAGGAACAGCTGATGCAGAACAGAACCTCAGATCCAGACCTCAGGTAAAGGATAATGTTGTAATTCCTCTTTTTGACACCAGAGGCCAACAAAGATCATTCATAATTTTTAAATGTCAGTAAATCCTTCATTACAGCCTCAGACTGGATGCTGGGAATTTGACAAAGTCTTGGTTTGATGTTAAAAAGATGGAAACCACTAAAACTGTAAACGTTGATGAGATTAAAAGTGTTTTATTGGTTCAAATTTATATAATAAGTTTGCTTTTGTTGATAGACGGTCGCCTGGAGGAGAATCAGCACATTTCATGCAGCCTTCTTGACACCTTGATGAGTGAGTGATGAAATGACCAACTGCAGAGAGTGATCCATCTTGACAATATTATTTGCTCTAATTTGTATTAAAGTCAGATAAAGGAGAACTTTGTATTACAAGTAATACAACTGTCCTTTTTATTCAATATTTAAATAATCTGTTAGATAACTTTGGTTCCATCTTGAATATCAACACCTGACATTTAGAGAAAAAAAGTTTGAAAACTCATTTTATTCCTTGGCGTTAAAGTTTTAAACTAGGCTGAGTTATAATTTGTTTAATTGGATTGTGCTCCACTCTTTCATTGTTGATGTGTGTACATTTTATACGGACAGCACTTGGGTCAGCATTTGTTTGTAAAAGCCACTTGTTTGACCTTTCTCGTTTCGGAAACGCATGGAATTACCGTGTGTATGAAAAGTGCTCAGTGGTTAGCACTGTTGCTTCACAGCAAGAAGGTCCTGGGTTCAATCCCCAGTTGGACCTGGGGTCTTTCTGTGTGGCGTTTGCATGTTCTTCTCGTGCTTGCGTAGGTTTTCTCCAGGTACTCCGGTTTTCTCACACAGACCAAAAACATGCATGTTGGGCTGCCTTCAGGCCCAGGCCTCCCTTGCAAAAGAGTTCTGTGATCTCAATGGGATTTGCCTGGTTAATAAAGGTTAATAAAATAAAATGTGGTTATTGTGAATGAGTTGAATAAAGTTTGACTTATTCGTCCGTTTTGTTTCGCTTAATGCGCCTTATAGTCTGAAAAATATGATAACTTGACCAGTATCCCGTCTCGTCATGTGTTGTGTGATAAGTGTGTCGTTACACCACTCATAAAGACATTGCTGATCAGCAAAATTCTAAATTATCAACAACAACAAAATTAGAAATAACAAATATTAATTAAAAAAACCAGACACACAACAAGTTAAGAATTCAATAATTTTTTAATTTAATAATTTATTTACGTAATTCTATCTCCTTCTGTCGCCCACCCGAAAAATATAAATTTCGGTGTATTCAAAAACAAAAACAAAAGAAAAGAAAAATGGCATCTTCATCAACCGCATCATAAGAATTAGTCAACAAAATCAAAGAGGCAATAATTATTATCATTATTACAATAATAATTAATCAATTATCAGAATATCCACATTCATAACGAATCCATATACAACTGCAAAAACACTCTTCAACACCACTCTTCCATTAATATACACAAAATCCCCAAATGTCGGTTCTGTCAAAACAACAATTAGAGGAGTTTGGGGGTGAGCGGGGGAGGAGGGGGGGTATGGCTTGTAAAAGGGGGTATGAAGATGTGTGACCAGCAGAGTGACTGGATCTCTGGTTAGTTAGAGTATAAGAGGGAGGCACACTCATTTAGTTAAGACCTGTACAAAAACAAGCATCGAGTAATAACAGCGTACTTCTACGGAAGGATTTGTCTGCATAAAAACAGCTCGACAACTCCATGAGAGGCAGAATTTGGGGAATTTCAAAGAACATTTAAATATATTTATATATAATGGTTGTCAGAATAAATATAGGACTGAAATGAAAACTCAGAACAGGTGGAGACCCTGCGAGGAATGAACGTTTCTGGAGGAAAACGAAAAGATTTTAGGTTGTATAATATGTACAAACATTGCTTGGTCACCCAAATCTTGTAAGAAAAGCTTTTGAGTAGGTCAGAAAATGAGTGCAAGCTCAAGATTGAGTGAGTTTTGTTTGAGAGCCTCGAGGGAAACAGCTGAAACGTGACAAGACGTGGCTGATTCCCTACGTCTGCACAGAAAGTGCTTCTGATAGCTGTCAGTGTGAAAAACCTCTCTGTGCCTCAGTATTGGTAATTTTAGAAGACCTATTCATAGAAAGAGAGAGAAACATTAGAGGAAAAATAACTGTACACTCTGCATGTACAAACAAACCGTGTATATACACATAGACGCACCAAATATACACATTTATCCAGTATTTATACCTAGAACACACAGATATATACAAACACATTCACTCCTTTCAGCAGGACCTCTAATTATCTCTCTCTCTTTGTCGCTTCAGTCACAAATGGCAGGGGCTTCAGGGCGTCCATCTTCAGGAATAAATGAGGTGTTTTACAGCAGTTGCACTGCAGAGATATGGTCACACAGAAACCACGAACCAGCACCCCCCCCCCCGCTCCGGTAAAAACCTACACACACTTAGTCAACGGAAAGTAAATGTCCTGATCCAGAGACTTCTGCATCGTCCAGAAATGGAGAGCTCCACGGCGATGGCTGGAGGAGAAACGACCTCTTCCGTAGCTTTAAAATGATTTTTTTTTTAAATTAAGAGGAAACGGGTTCAGCTGGTCACAGCAACGTGCAAACTGTTGTTTGGGGTTGGGAGGGTAGGTAAAACACAAGCTTGTCTCAGTCCTTCAGGGCAATGCTTTCCTCCAAAAGATTGTCCTAATATGAAAAATGTTCATATAAAACGGATAACTCCAGAGTCTTTAATTTTCATCAAGAAATAAATATCTTCTCCTGAAGATGTCTGACGAAGAGTGTTTTTTAAAATACTATGGTAAGAATAATCCATATTATCATAGAAATATAAATAATAACATTCTGTCCATTTTTTTTTTCTTAAAGTCTTCATTGAAACAAGTTTATTTTTTTGTTTCTAAGCAGTCTTTGATTTAGGCTGTGCATATTTAGTTTCCTTTAAAATCAAAGTCTGAGAAGGATCCTGATGGAAGAGCTAAACACTACAAATCAAAAAAGGAGGAAAAAGATTTAAATTATGTGATGAACCAAATAAAAAAAACAATTTAAATGTGTAATAATATACTAAGAGAGGGAAATAAATGGTTTGAAAGTGAATTTGCTTTGACTGAAGCATTAAAAGAAGTCAAGCACCATTGAAATCTACTCATCCCTCTCTCTTGTTTCAGTCCTTTCTGTTCCTCCGTCCTGCTGATGGGTCAGACTGCATAGCTGTTCTTTGCATGCTCGGCAGGCTAACAAACACCAAAAACACGTCCAGCCCACCTTCAAAAGGTCAAACGTTCATCCAACAGTGAGGCCCTCAAGCACATTTCTAACAAAAAAATCCTTTTTTCAAATCAGGAAGAGAGAGAGGGCCCAAATAAAGTGTCAAAAACAAGAAGAAAGCCCAGCGTTCCCTTACATGGTCCGCCGGGGGTTTGCACCATCCTTTGAGAGGAGAGAATGGGACCAACGCCCCACGGTCTCCCTTTGTCAGCCAATCGCGTCACGAGAGAGGGCTCGGGACATTTGGCCGTGCCACCCTGAAGACTGCCGATGGTGCATCACCCAATTAGGTTCCACATTGTCCTCCATGAAGCTTTGAGAGTGGCTAAAGGGGGAGAAAACAGAGAGAGAAGAAACGAGGGAGGGAACTCGATCAGGTGCTGTTAAAGCAGCAGGCAGTCTCTCCAAAGCTGGACTCATCTTGTTTTTTATTGTGTTCAGCTCGGAGGCAACTGCTTGTTCACCTGAGTCACTGAGGTATTTTCACAGCAATGTTAGATTCTCCACTCGGAGTCGTCTCACGGATCAGCCCCCTTTAAATCATCACGCTAAACTTCACAAGAAGAAGGAGAAGCCGTGCGGGACGGCTTGTCCTCGTTTTAGACTAACATTTGGTGGTTCGACAGTTCAACATTCATTAAATCTAATATTTATTCTCCTAATGGCCGATTGGACCCCTTCAAAATAAAACTGCTCAAACTGCGCATGTAAACAAGTGTTTGTGTGTAAAGCAGACAAAAACTAATCTTACAGCAGACACAGAATGGAGGACTGTGAACGTGTTACAAACACTTCAAAGAACATTTGACACACATGAAACTGAAAACATGAAACACTTCTAATTTTGTTACAATACACCCCTAATTCAATTTTAATGCCACTGTTTTACTTTTAAAGCAACACACCTCTTTTAAACAGACAAAAGCAGACTCTAGTTGCTGATTTAAACGGTGTAAAAGAGGCATCTCGAGGTGCTTTTGGTTCACGTAAAGCTCGTCTAAATAAATTAATCCCAGGCACTTGAAGCTAAATAAGCCTAATTTTTTTCTAAATAGTCTGGTTAGACATGGAAAGCTTTTATTAGTTACATTCCACAGAGACGTGGCCAAAAAAAGTTACACACCAGCAAAAATGAACTTTGTTTTAAATTGCACTTTTAGTGAAAAATGAACAGAAATGTTGCTGAAGGTACAGTTCAGTGGTTCCCAACCCTGGTCCTTGAGGAACACCATCCTGCATGTTTTAGTTGTTTCCCTGTTTCAGTGATTTAATTACTTCCTCGTGTTCTGCAGAAGCCTGTAAATCACCCATTTATTAAAAGAAGGTGTGTCGGAGCAGAGAGACAACTAAAACATACAGGATGGTGTGCCTCAAGGGCCAGGGTTGGGAACCCTGTTGTTTTATTTGCGAGGTGGAAATAAAAGTTGCTCCTTCTATTTTGAGCCTGGAAGCTGTTTGTCTTAGAGCAGAGCAACCCTAAAAAAAACCAAAGAAGAGATTAGGAAACCCCAGCAGCTCCGTTAGACGTAGAACACAGCAAGATGCACAAAAAACAAAGACAGAGACACATCCTGAAGAGGCTGGGGTGGGGGGTGGTGTGTCTGGTCAAAGACAAACTGTGGGAGGAGAAGAGACGGTGGATCATGAATCATGACAGAAGCAGTGACATGGCAGACATACAGACAGCTCGCTTGGGGAAAATGGCACCGTTTGTTCCTGTTTAGCACCAGTTTAACACATGTCGGTTCTGAGATTGAGAAGAGAAAAACTGCACGAGCTCAAATCCAGTAGTCTCTTAGGTTGAAAGCATTAAACAAAGTTTCTAAAAATAATTAAAAAAGAAAGTCTCCCTCCACTCAAACACCAGCTCTCGGTTTTCAGCCCGTAGAAGGTTTCACATTCTAACCAAGCGAACGGTGCCTATAGTGACCTCAACTATTAAACCCTGCTGAAAAACTCTCAAAGGCACTAGGTAAAAGCCAAAATACGTCGCCATGTCTCCACCATGACAACTGCAGCCTGCAGGACGGCGATGCACCCACGTCCACGGGATCCCACGGTCACTTTGAGCCTGTTTACAGCTCAGGTGCCGCCTCGTTAATGGCTACTATAAAGTCTTTGGGGTGTTCAAGAGCGTTTGATCCTTTTGTCACAAAGACAGGCGATAATTCACACAGCAGGCGTTCACGTATGAAGTAAGATATCATTGTCTTGTCCTGCAAGACTGACACCATTTAAAGCTCCAAGTGAGAGTTAGGAAAGCAAGTGTTCATTAAAGAGCCCTTAGTGTTTGTCTTTTGCACTTTACAGTGTCATTATTACTCCACTCCCACAGTGTTCTTCTCTCTCTTGTTCCACTCAAAATGACTCAAAAAAGAGAAGGGGATATAGTTTAATTTTTGAGTCATCTCTCTCTCTCTGATTTGGCTTGTGTTTGCCTTACTCCCCCTTCATTCTTCTACACGTGTGTCATTGCTGTTGCCGTGGTCTCAGTTGCCTGTGAAGTTGCCGTTTGGTTGCCATGGAGCTCTTCATTCTGACTAGGATGCTGATGAGGAGCGGGTAAGGAGGAAAGGTCTACAGTTTGGGGGCGGACTCTATTGTGGAGCGATGTGTCGGAGGAAATGCCAGAGGAAGAGATTCTGTGAGCTTGATTGCTGGTTACCGCTCCTCCATGTCCTCCTCCTCCCCGTTCAGTTTTCACACCGGGGTCTGCAGAACCCAGGGAGGAAAGCTGGTCCTCCTAGCGAGATAGAGAAAGAGGGGAGGGGGGGAAGAGGAGTGGGAGCAGGTAGAAATGGTCGTAGGAGGCCATTCAATGAACCATGGAAAGGATGAGAGGAATTGTAGAAAGGATATGTCCAGTCATGGCATGTTGAGGGACAACAAAGTGAGAATGGTGAGACAAAAAGGAAGAGGAAAAAAGTAAGAAAACACCAGAAACACGTTGTGGGAACACATCGACATTGAAAAAGAGAAGGAGAAAAGGTGGAATGAGCACATGTGAATGTGATGATCAGAGTAAAAAAATAAATAAAAAACACAACAAGGGGTTGGAAGAGGAGGCACAGAGAGAGGAGAGAAAGAGTCAAATGAGTTACGAGGTTGATGAACACCAACGGAAATGACAGCATAAAAAAAGAAAGAGGAGATGAGGGGAAATTCAAACTCTGGAGGTCAAAGGATCCTGATCCTCTCAGGACAAAAACCACGGCAGGTTTGTCATGTGACTGCTGTCAGGCAGACAGGAAGTCAGGTTTCTTAACCAGTGAGGGCAAATAATACCTGGGATTTATCTTAATGTGCTGCAAAATACAAAGAATAAAACTCGTTGATAAACAGCTTAACTTTTCCTCTACTACTAGTTACTAGTTGCTACTATAGTTTCATCTTACTACTATAAACATGCAATGAACTTTAAGCCACATAAAGGTTTATAAAGCAAGGAAGCATTAAAACATAAACCAAAGACTTCTCAATCTAAACATACAAACTTCAATTAGTAAACAACAATTGTGGTTTACTCCAAAAACAGGGGAAAACGTATGTTGAAGTGTTGGCATTGGTTTTCCTGTTTCTCTTTATTGGTTTTATTATTGTTGCCATCATTCTTTCATACGTTTTACTCGTTCCACAATTTTTCAGCTATTTCAACAGTTCATAAAGCAAAACGTTCAGCTCTTTCAGGACAATCCAACTTTAGCTTTTTGAAATATTTAGCTTTTTCTGCCATTTTCTTATTGAAAATGAACTGAACTCACTTCACAACCTTCGTATTTGATCAGTTTACAATCTTTTATGCTCATTTCACATTTTGTTCTGGTTCTGCTATTTTTTGTGTTAACTTTAACGATTTTCAGCTACTTTCAGCAAAGTTTAAGTATTTTTTTCAGCTACTGTTTGTTCTGCTCATTTTAGCTGTTTCAGCTAATTCTACATTTTTGTGCTAATTTTAGCTTTGTTCAATTTAATTCAGCAAAAGTGCTCTTTTTGCCTTCAGCTAATTTAAGCTTTTTTTCCTCCTTTTTCAGCTACTTTTCAGCTTGTCTTTTTGACCTATTTCAGCTGTTTTTTGTGTTAATTTCACCATTTTGGTGGTAAATTCTACTTCTTTCTGCTTAAATCAACAAACGTGACTCTTGGTTAGCATTTTCCTATTTTTTGCTAATGTTTAGCTACTTTTGATTCTTAGTAGCCTTCTGAGTATTTTCTAGCATTTTGCTTCTTCTGGTCCTAAGCTAGCATTTTTAACTTTTTGCTAGTGTTCAGCTAGCTTTTTCTTGCTGTTTGCTAACATTTCCACAAACCATTAAACTATTTTCGGCTACATTTTCAACTGCTCATATTAAACAAGAAATGACAGTTCAGTGGTTAAAATTTTACAGCTATAGTTTCAGCTTCTTCAGTAAAAACATTCAGGAATAAGCATTTTACATTGCATTTTCACAGGAAATGCTATTTTTTCTAGTTCTTGTTTTATTAATAAGTATATTAAAGTCCCCATGAAATGAAATTTTACAGCATTTCTGCACACGACCAAAGTTTGACGGCAACAGGAGCAGAAAGAAGTGAAGCAGATAAAACAGTGAAACAGCTTCAAGTTGTGGTTGACCTGAGCATCCCCATTTTAAAAGAGCCTCAGGTTTTACTTACTTAAAACATCAGTTTAAGAAAAATCAATTATTTATCCTCAGCATGGATTTTGCTCATGTGCAGCTCGTGCATGTGCACATTCCTGGTAACTCATCTGAAAGGCAGATGATCTGTTACAATCTGCCTGTTCAGCTCAGTCTCTTTCAGTAGAAGTTCCAATTTAAAACAGATTTCTGTCAATGTTTGCAACAGAAACACAGCAGAGATTTTCTTCGGGCACCATGTGGACACATTCAGTCTCTAGACTGATGACAGTAAATTCATACACATATATACGTAGACGCCCCGTTGAGCGGGCTGGCAGCTGCAGCGTGTCCGCCATATTGAATGTGGCGGAACTGCGGGCCAACTAAAGCACCGTTTTACAAAGAGTTATAAATTAATCCCCGTCATTCACACACACTAATTAGAAAACAAACAGGCACCAAAGACAACATTTGTAACTTTTAACATGATTAAAAATATTTACTCCTTAAATATTTAGGTTAAAGGTAATAACTAAACCACCACACATATACTTTTGAGTGTTTACAACTACTAACGTGTGTAACAGCACTATTACTGTGGTGATAAATATAGACATATTCATATTTAATCTGTGTCTATAATAACCAGATCCTGAAGTGTAGATGTGATATGCAGTCTGTGTGTGCATGTGTGCAAGTTATAAACCTTGGACAAGAACGGTCTTGTTCAGCTTTTTCCGTGTTGCCACTGTGAGGCATCTTCTATCTACTGCTTCACTTTTGCCACATTCAAAATGGCGGCGACATGGCCTACATTCAGCGCTCAGTGAGGCGTCCACGTATACAAGTCTCTGAGTAAACGACAGTTTGAGTAAATGTTTTTCTTGTGAACATTTCATGGGAACTTTAACGTCCGTTTACTTTGGGTTTGTGGTGCCGACAGAGCTGCATGAGAATCTTCATGAACAAGATTAACGAAATCTCAAATATGACGTTTTATGAAGCTCTTTTCAAAGAGGATTGTTTTACCATCAGGCTGCTGGCAGAAACATCCTGAAATTAAAGATGAATTTGGTTGAAGGTCTAAATATATTTATGGACATGTGCAGTAATTTATCTCATGTTTGTTATTTATCAAACCTGGAAAATGTTAATGAATGACTCATTTTCTTTTTTGACACACAGGAGACATGGATTTTTGTCACATGAGTGGAATGAAGTGCTGCAGAGGGGAGAGGCAGAAAAAAGGAGGACTGCTTTGCATCAAGTTGGGACAATGAATTAAAAGCAAATTATCAGTGGATAAATTTGCATCTGAAGGGTCTGATTGCTGTGAGTGACAGTTATTTCCATTTTACTTAAAAAAAAGAAAGAAATAAAAATACAAGCAAGCCATCAAAAATGCTCCCAGATGTTAATGAGAACTACGGTGGGCCTTTTCTCTTCTCAATCAGAACCAAAATGAAAACACTTTGAGCTGCTAACTGGTGCTACGAACTAAAAATAAATAAATTAAATAAAGTCAGTACGTGAGGTGTTACAGGATGCCAGGAACACGACCTCACTGACACTCGCTCCATCAGTGTCGAACAGAACCAACAGTGCTGTTTAATACCCATGTGTGGACCAGAACACATGTCTATTAAACGAAGAAGCAGGTGAAGAAACACATGGCGAGATGTTTACTGACATCCTCTTTGACTTACCGAGCTCGCTGGGCTCTTTGTGGCTGCAGTTTAACTACCTGCTGCATCCGATTAGTTGGATGTGGGGTGTTTTCTTTTTAAATAATAATGAAATTTGCAGTGTTGGAGACAGAAACACAAAACACCGAGTGGAGCGCTGAAATGTTTGGGTGTATATAATGATACAGAGAATATTGTGCACAGATAATCTTACCCTTTATGTCCAATTACTCCAACTCGGACGGTGAATGTTTAAAACAGTAAAAACCTGCTGTGGGTGGGGGCTTCATCACTTCATATATGACATTAAGAGATTAAAAACAATTGCTTTATAACTTAAAGTGACACATTTTCTGGATAAAGGCTCTAACTTGATAAAAAACAAAACTCAAAATGAGTGTTGGACTTCATCTGACACACAACAACAGCTGGGTTTACACAGAACAGAAACAAGACACGAACACATAAAGATCTGAACACAAACTCACTGAGAGACAAAAGAAACGCACAAAAACAACAACATGTGCAAGTCGACCGGTGTTCTTCAGGGAAGGATTGGGACAGATACGGAGATTTCACAGAATTCCTGTTGAGGTTGAGGGAGGGATGAAAACCGGAAGGCAGATGTGAGCTGATGTGTGCACGAAGCATGATGATTAAAAATAAGATGTTCAGGATAAAAAGGAATAAAAAGTGGTTTAACGTGAATAATTTAATGAATTACAGAGCACTTTGACAACTAGGGTGGCAACATTTTAACACTTTGGGTTTGGGCCTTTTCAGTTTGTCAGGAGGTTATTCTTTTTTATGTTTAACAGAAATAAATTGTTTTTATTCCTAGTGCTGCTCTTTTGAGTCGACTATTGATTGATTAGCAGTTTATTTTCTTATTTGTAAATAAACTAATATAAAACTGAAATTATCAGCAACATGTTTGGGATCTGATGTAAAAGTGAGTCATAAAACAGTTTTAGGAATGCCTTTTAACTCTAAAAAGTTGAGTAGTAAATATGGTTGATAGCATAATTTTATAAATATCAGAACGCTTGATATTGTTAGCAGTAATATGTGAACTACACACGTGAGAAAAATAATCTGTAGGCATTTAAAATGTTAGATTGCGAAGCAGCAGCATGAAATGACTGATGCAGTAGTTCTTTGTAGTTTTACATCTAATCTGCTTTTATTGATAAAAAAATCTCAACAAAAAACAGTTCTTTGTCTGATCTTTTAAGTGAATTGTCATCATAGGTTTGTCACAGAATATTTCCAGCGTTACAAAGAAGACAAAAGGTTTTAAATTTTAAATAGAAACAGCAAAAGATTAACTTTACGTCTCTTTTGAAAAACATAAAAAAATACTTTTGTCTTTAGTCAAGCATGTAAATATCAAAACAAACTTTTAACTACTCTGCCAAGATGGCTCTGGTTTACAGGGACGACCCTCAGACAAAGTCATTGAACAGATACAATTAGAGTTGTTTAATAATTAAAAGTCAGACGCATGTTTGTTTCTTTACAGGCACCAACTATTAAAAATGACAGAAAAATGAAACTGTAGTTATGTTTGTGTATGAGGAGCAGATTCCCCCTCTTCATTTCTTACAGCCAGCAGCTCTTCTATCAGCTGCACTTGCTGCTATTGAAGCTGTATTGTTTGCTCTTTAGTGACACCTACAGGTCTGAAGGAGAACTGCTGCAGCGCCGGTGTAAACGGCAACAAACACTGAAAACGTGCTTAAACCCGTGAATCAACTACGATAGAGAAAACTTGTGTTTTATTCTTTATAAAGTAGAAAAAAAAACATTTTACTGCTTTCTGCTGAGGTACTAAACAAGTATTAAAGACATCTGCTGCAGATAGCTTGACTTATTTTGTACTAGGTCTTAGATTTTATGTTTTATACACCATTTGTGTCAGATTTGAGCAAAGTTTTTGACAATTTTGATACAAGGTATGTTTGTGAGCAGCCATTTTTTTTTTCATTTTACAGTAACTGAACTAAAACTATTCCTTTGCTTTGCTTTGTTGTATTACAGTCATTAAGCTCAATGTGTTGAACCAAACTTACATCAAGAAGAAGAAGATGCTATGTGTCGTCCTCATTGTATGTTCCCATACAATGACAAAATTAGTTCTCTGCATTTAACCCATCACACCTGAGATACACCCAGGTGGCGCAGCGGGCAGCTATGTAGGCACCTGGGGAGCGGTTAGTGATTAGAGGATACCACGACATGTGAGCATGGCAAGGACTTGAACCTGCGACTTTCTGGTCCCCTCTAACCCACAGCGCCCCCCCCCCCCCCCCCTGCAAGTTGTATCCTGTTGTGATCACAGGCAGAATTGTACCGCTTTGTATGACTGGGATCACTGGCGGTGTAGAGACAAGTGACGGCTGCAGACCAGAGATGAACAATCGTATTCTCTAAAAGGAACTGGATTGATTTGGAGATATTTTTATGTGTATTTTTTACCCCCCCCCCCCCCCCCCCATTACATTTTCCACTAGGAGCGTTTAGTTAAAGGCATAACATGATTTATGTGTTCAGACGGTGTTTGCAGCTCATATTTTTCATATTTGATGTGTTTTTGATGTCAGTCTAAAAAAAGAGTTGCACTCCTCAGACCCATCAGTAACATCTGAACAAATATTCTGTGACAGTTCTCTCTCTGTTTCCTGTTAAAATGACTGGGGGGGGGGTGTAAAGTGTGGCTGGCCTGCGGAGGATTTTACGGGTGCTGTAACGGACGGGACGCACACAGAGAACAGAAGAGGAGAGAAGAGGCAGCAGTGATGGAAGATGAGTGAAAGTTTGCTGGTTAGGTTATTACCTGGACACTCGGGGTGGGACAGGTGCAAGTCGGGGCTGCACTAGGATGGACTGACGCCTCCCCTACGAGAAATCACCGTATCTCATCAACATAGGAGGAGAGGACAACTCACAGAGGAGGCAAAATAAGGAGGAAAAACTCGTGTGCGAGACGGGAAGGAATCAGGAGGAAACAAAAACGACCACTCGAACATCACAGACCCAACGCACGACACAAAGAACAGAAACACAAACATAAATACACAAATATAATCCTTCCTGAGCCACACTCACATACACGACAAACGTTGTCAGATAGCCAACAGCCCAAAAGCCTTACAGCAGCATGCCATGCAGATTCTGAGAGGCAGAAGTCATGCAGTGAAGACAACAAACAGGTGGTAACTGGAGCAGCTGTAAACATCTGGATGCAAAAACAACTGATTAGTTCCCTTCACAGCTCTGCAACATTTCCCGCTTCAGAAAAAGTGAAAAAACAAACGTGAAGAACGTGATTTCATCAGACGTGCGATTATCAACTCTGTTACAGGAACAGTGATTATTTCAACTCATCTGCAGATTCGTCAACGTTTAAAATAAAATGTTATTTCAGTAAATATGACCACGTCACAGAAACTCAACACAAAGTTGTAACAGACAGAGCATAAAGAATTGAATTCATAATGAATGAATGGAGGATTTAATAATTTTATTTCTCATCAGATCCTCTGCTCTGATGCTGCTGGTGACATGATGAGTCCAAACATGAGATGTTTAAAATACTAATGGATCAGAAGGATGAAAGGATCATAGAGCTTCATGTTCCTGCGCAACAGAAGAACTAAGATCTGGTTTAATTGTGGAAAATCATGCAATCAGAAAAACAGCCTGAAAGAAAATCTGTCTCACAGACAACCGGTCCAAACACCAACAGCTCTTGTGTCTGTTTGTCCTCTACATGGAGGACAATAATAAATATTTATATTTTAATGTCTAGAAATATGAGCGACCTGTTTTTTCATCCATTTATCCAATGTATTGTTTGTCCATCTATCCATCCAACATCCATCCATCCATCTGTCCATCCATCCTATTGGTCAGTCTATTAATTCATGTATTTGTCTGTCTATCCGTCCGTCCATCCATCCATTCAATTGGTCAGTCTATTCATCTATTTGTTTGTCCGTCCATCCATCCATCATCCATCTATCCATCCATCCATACATCAATCCATCCTATTGGTCAGTCTATTTATTCATCTATTTGTCTGTCCATCCATCTGTCCATCCAATTGGTCAGTCTATTCATCTATTTTTCTATCCGTCTGTTGGTCCATCCATCCATCCATCCATCCATCCATCCATCCATCCATCCATCC